AAAAAAAATCTAATTGACTACAAGGCTACAAAGATTTATAATCAATTAAAATATTGATTAAGAAAATAGAATAAAAATTATTAAATTAGATTCAAATGATGTTTTAATATAAACAATAATTTTTAAATCTTGTTCAAACCCTTATTGTCTTATGACTACATGATTAGGGTTGTTAAAATGACTCTTTGTTCGTGAACAGCTCGTGTTTGACTCATTAAACAAACGATTAACGAGCCGAACACGAACACACTTTTTGAGCTCGAAATATAAACGATGACTCGTTCGTGTTCGACTCGTTTACTCCCCTAATCTTACCCCTACTATTGTTTTTGTAAATATGTTTTTATGACGCTTAAACTTTTGGGTACTTTAGTTGGGTGAGTTGTATTTTTTCTTTTTGGGAGAGGAACCGTAAGTTTTATTTTTTTTGCACGAGTTGTACGGGATGTGTAGTAGGTTCCTCTTGCTCGAAATAAAATTCCTCTATGGGGTTGAAAAAAAATGTGTGAGATATAAAAATGCATAAGAATTGTTTACTATGAATGTAAATATCCTTATTAAATTTTAGATATAATTTTTTTATTTTTTGTGGGCAATTTAAAACATATGAATTTTATGTTTTTACATATAAAACTTCATTTTTATTTTAAACACATACTATTTAAATATTTAATATTATATCATGAAAATCAATATTATCAAATTCTTAAAAAGTAAAATAATATTTTTTAATGTATAGATTTTTGATATCAGTGTTAAAAATACAAATACTAAATTTTTCGTATTAGATATGTAATTGTCTGGTACTTCTAAAGCTTTTTAAGCTGCCACACTCTTCCTGGCGACTGCGTATGTTAGGGAGAGAGAAAGAAAGCAATGGGCTCCTTGCCGTCGATCACCGTCGACCGGCGAGAGCTTGCCTTGCTATTCGAGGACCAGCGGCGCCACCTGAATCATTTCTTCGACAACATGGACATTGGCCAGGCCCAGGCCTTCGCCCAGCTCCTCCTCGACGCGCCCGGCGCAGTTTTCTTCTCCGGCATCGGTAAATCCAGCTTCGTCGCGCAAAAGCTTTCACAAACCCTCACCTCCCTCGGATTCAACCAATCCGCCTACCTCCATCCCGTGGACGCTCTCCACGGCGACATCGGCGGGCTCTTTCATTCCGACCTTCTGGTTCTCATCTCCAAATCTGGATCATCGGACGAGCTTCTCAATTTGGTCCCCTGCGCCCGCGCAAAGGGCGCACGCATTATCTCCATTACCTCCGTGCACGGCAATCCCCTTGCCGCGCTTTGCGATTTGAACGTCCACCTACCCCTTGAGAAAGAGGTCTGCCCTTTTGGCCTTGCGCCTGTTACCTCCTCCGCCATCCAGATGGTGTTTGGGGATACGATTTTGGCCGCAATCATGACGGCCAGGAGACTCACCAGGGAGCAGTACGCGTGCAACCATCCTGCCGGAAGGATCGGAAAGAGCCTCATCTTCAAGGTATTCTACGAATGCTTTATTTTATTTGTTTTTCCTTTTCATTTTCTCTATTTTGTTTTTGTTTATTTTCATGATTCTGCCTTTAATACCCCTGGACCCTTCAATGTTTTTATTACCAGCTTAAAATGGTCTTCATTGTAGTTTTTGAGTAGACAGATCTTGAGTCTGATACCTTGTTGTGTACATAATCAGTTAAAAAACAGATTGACCAGCAGTATATTTCCCTGAGAACACCCTCCCACGCTCAAATAAGTGATTGAGTTTGCATGTGAATAAGAGTTATAAAAGCCATGATTATATTTTAGATCTCCGATCAATTGAAGGATAGAGTGCCAAGCCACATAACCTTGATATTTGTGCTCAAATATCATGCCACTAGCAATGTTGGAGGGATAGATAGAGGCCTGAGGCATGAGGTCAGTTCTAATGAAGTTTTATTTGAATGATTGGATCCATGGTGACAGCTCTTCTATTTTTGTCTATGTTGTTTTGAATTCTTGTGAATACTTTAATCAAGATTCATCAGTTGGACAATATGAATCTTGCTGGGATTGAGCCGTGAAAGAGATAGAAGGATTTTCATTGGGACACTTTCTTGCTCTTTCAGTTACTTTACTTTAAAAGTGCAAAGCTACTTGTTTTTAAAGTTGAAGTTTAAAGAAAAAAAGGAAAAAAAAAGGTTGAAGTTTAAAGACTTTATCATGTAGTGGCTGAACTTGAACCCATAGTTAATTAGTTCATTATCTCCTTTTTTTTATTGCAGTTGCTACTTTTACTTTAAGTTTTATTATTTGGCATGTGACTCATGCCAAGTTTGTTAGATTTAGTGGATACATACCTCCACTTTGGCGGAGTGAGGAGATTATTATCATTCTTCTATTTGTAATCCCATAAATTCTTATTTTAAGAAATACATCCTCCGTGGTCATTCCTTCCCTTTTTTTTCGCGTTAAAGCTTGAAGTCACCATATTGATATTTGAGCTCATAAATGGGAAATTTTGTGACAGAAACCACCTGGCTCATGTTGGTGATCGTAACATGGAGACATTGTTTGAAGCTCACTTATCTTTGAATGGAAGCTTGATAATCTTGCTGCTGAGTTTCACATTTTCATTACAAAGGTGAGATGTAAACTTCACACTGTCAGAGGCAGTGTAAGTCTCCCAACTAACATACTGTGGTCACGACACCCACACTAACAGGTGATACCACTGTGATAAATCAAGACTAGACGCATTCGAAAAGATCAATCCACTTTTGTGGTCCGAGTACTACGATTCTAGCGATGATAGCCTTCCTTATTGGTGAACTAATTTTTCTAATTATGAATATGATGAAGAAAATTCCTTATCGATTGGTCACATGGTTGGCGTGCCCACAATGACCAACTGTATGGTGCATGCATGTTAAAGATTGACATCCCTTATTTCACCGTCCATCTGCATATAGAAGACTATTTTGATTGAGAATAAGTTTTTGGTATCTCTCACAATCAACAGATTCACTTGTCTCTGTACTGAGCTTGAACTTCTGATCAATTGGAGAGACTACATGTTTGCTCCCTCACATATTTACCTTTGTGAGAAGATCTAGTAGATACGTTCTATGGGATAGGATCATCCTCTCAGGTCATATGCTATTTCAATCCCAAGAAAGTATCTGAGTTGTCCCAGATCCTTTATCTCGAATTGCTTTCCCGATCTTCCCTTCAGTTGAACCATCTTTGTTTCATCACCACAAATGATAATTATGTCATCCACATACACAAGAAGTATGGTGGTGTGACCTTCATGTTACCGAAAAAATACTGTACGGTCTGCATTGATCTGCTGATATCCCATGTTAACTATCGTCATTTTAAATTATCAAACTAGGCTCAAGGAGTCTGCTTCAACCCATACAATAATTTTCTGAGCCTACACCCCTTGCCACTGTCTGGGATATACTGAATCCTGATGATTCTTCATATATACCTCTTCCAGCAGTTTTTCGTGAAGAAAATCATTCTTCATATCTAGTTGATGGAGTCTTCATCCAACATTCACAACTTGAGAAGCCAATGTCCTTACCGTGATCATCTTTGTAACTGGTGCAAATGTCTCATTCTAGTCAATGTCATATGTTTGACTGTACCCTTTTGCCACTAGTTGTGCTGTGTTCCTCTCCGTCTTCCCTTATGGAGTTTGTTTTTTCGTGAAGATCTACTTGCATTCAACTACCTTCTTCCCTGCTGTTACTGGTACAATCTCTCATGTTTGATTCTTATCAAGAGCTCCAAGCTCTTCATGCATCGTCGCTTTCCACT